AACTTTGTAAGTCTTCTTTGTAAAAGGAGATAAAAGAACAAGGAATAAATATAATAAACAGTTCGCAGGAAATTTATAAGAAAATGCATTACTTTTGTATGACTATAAGAAGATATTAGGTAAGTCCGAGTGGTTGATCATAAGCTCAGAACAAAGTTAGGCCTAGGTTCATACGCCGTCATAAAGAATATGTCTTGCTCTAAAAAACATTCGCTTGACAGTCAAAGTCGGCATGTTTAAAATTTCTGGAAATTCATTGAAGCGAGCTTCGGTGAACGAAAGAGACTATTTGACAATGGCTTACTTGATATACTGATTGAAATATTATATTTGTTTTTCACGACAAGGTATCACAAGGGTAATGTAGTTACGATAGAGGATCAGACCTAAAAATCTGGCTATATTGGTTGATTATATGATCATAAATATCATATCAATTTCGCATGATATGGTATTTCGCAGATATGAAAACAGTGAAAAAGGCAGCTACAATTAGTCCTTTCCTATGAATGAATGACTATGAAGCAGCACAAGCTCGACAGCTCAATTTATAACATGGAGCGTCCCTAAGGATGTGATCAAAGCCAAAAAATGGAAAGGATTAACAGCAAAAAAATATTCCGCTGATGAAATAGTGAATATCAAGATAAAAGTAAACACATTCACGAATGCACTCTGATAAAAGGCATTAAATGACAGAAAAGGTTGGGAGCGAAAACGAAGAAAGCGGTGAGTCTAAACGAGAAGAGAAAGAAGAATTTTCAAAAAGTAAAAACATGAAAGGTTCATTATAAGAAGTACATGTAAAGAAGTCGTAACATTTATTTTCAAATCGTACCTCATACTCTCGTTTCTCTATCTTATCGTCTTTCTCTTCTGCATCGATACACTTGCGGTACCAAAGAATTTGCGCGTTACTTCTTTGCTCATCACAAATCAACTGGTCTTGAATATTGCGTTCCAAAAACTCCATCCGAGTGTTTAGTTCGGTCTCCGCTGAAAAAGGGTGATATTCGGTAAACAAATGAAAATATGACAATACTGATCCTTCATCATAGATTTCTCAAAGTGGATAGATGGTAATTCATAATGTTAAACTTCTGTATTGAAAAGACATTCTTAAAAACTCACGAAAAGTATCAAAAATAAGTCGAGGAACATGACAATACATATATTGCTCGCATTTGGTGTTAACAGAAGCATTTTTCTCTCGTTCGATAGCCTTTCGCTTTTTCTCACGCTAAACATCACTCTGATTGCTGAACAAGGAATTCCTAGGGGATTTACCTCCTTTAGTAACTTTGCCTCTGATGGTTCCTTCTTCCTTTTCTTCTTCACTAAAACCTGGAATACCTATTTTCGATGCGTATTGTCTTGAAATAAGGGCCTCACCTCGCTCGCCTCTTCCTCAACCAACTTATTTGGAATTTTCTCTTGCATCATAGCAACGTCGTCGTCATGTTCTTTTACAGGTAAGATCATTTTCGGAGAACGCCTAAGCAATGCGAACTTTTCAGATGATCAGAAATTTGGTTAATATGTTTGATAAACTTGCCTAACAACAGAGTTTGCCTTAGCTCTAGCAATCAATTGCTCCAATTCCAAAAGTTTGTCAAAGCTTGTGTACGATTCCGGTTGCAAAGGAGGATTTACACTTTTGTTTGACACACCTAAAGCACATTTCGAACATCACAAATGCTAAAAACCGGCAAGAGATTGTTTACCCGAAGTACTCGGTCCAGGCTCATCAAGAATCTCAATTTCCCTCAGCGGTGCGCTTCTTCTTGCAGGTGTTGGTGGCGAGCATATGCTATCATCGATAACTATGATGTCTTCGTCGTCCATCGTTTTCTGCATAGACGTTTGGTTACAGAAATGTGGACAAGAATCATAAAAGTCAAAGCTATGAACGGCAACTAATACTTCATAAAGCTAGCACTGTTACAAAACTTACTCGAAAAACCACATTACTCCGCTAATTCATTCGAGAAGATAAATAACTAGAAAGAATATGACGTGCAGAGATAAACTGCGATCTAGGCTGTGAAATTATGAAATGCGAGAGATTTGCATGTAGTGTTTGTTTGATAACTGACTGTCAACAGATTATAAGACAACGTTGTTTCAT